GATTAAATCTAGGTACTTTGGCATTATGCACGGCTACAGCCCGTCTTTTAAGAGCAGGGCCTAACTGTTGTTCTCGAAATATTATATTTTCTCCATTTTCTTCTGTAATATTACTTAGACGTTGAAATTCTTCATCAATTTTAGGCACGAAATTTTGAGGTCTGCACGGGTTTTTTCTTTTGAGATGCGAACGAAGCTTTTGAGGTGTTGCACATGTATAGCCACAGCGTTCACAAGTTCTATTCTTTTTTACCATGTTGGTCTAACCAATTCGATTTATTTTACTTATATATTAAAAACTTTTTACTTTAAATAAATAATTCTATATTTCAAAAAATGATCGGAGAAAATTCTTGTCCATAGCTTCTTAATTCTGGAGCTATATGCAATAATGCCTGTATGTGTCCTGAAGGATGTCGGCTTCACAATAAAAAAAAAACGTTTTCCATGCTCTGATTGCGGTAAACCTACTCATTCTAAATCTGGACGTTGTCCAGCTCATATTAGAGGATTTTATGTTGCTCAATACTATCATAGATTACGCACTAATAAATAAATTTCGTTTATCAGAAACTTGCTCTGAGCCGTTTTATCCGATTTTTTCCAAGGACAATTTTTCAGGAAAATGCTTTAGAGATGCAAAAAAATATATAATTGCTATACTAATTGGGCTTTATAGACCGGGATAGCCCTTTTTTAAATATAATTTTATAAAATTTCGTTAGATTTTTTGGTTAGATTTTTTTTTCGTTAGATTTTTTAGGACAAAATTGTGGCCCAAAAAAAAAAAAAAATGGCCGCATTTTGGTTGGATTTTTTAGTTTGCATAGATTTTTAAGCTTTGGAGGTAATAAAAACGGCTAAAAAGATAGTTAAATAATTAAGAAATCTATAGCCTCTACAGGTGTTTTCTGATATGTAAATACAAAATCGAACCAAAATGAGGCCTAAAAATAAAAAATGGCCGCTCTCGAATGTGGCCAAAAATTAAAAATTGGCCGCGTAGAAAAAAAATCGAACCAAAAATGTGGCCTAAAAAATAAATTTCGCCACTTTCAAAAAACTGATATCTTTTTGACCTTCCAGAGCGGCTAGGCACACGAATGCCGCCATGGAGGTTTTGTCCCAAAACCCCCCTTCTGGCATTGTGTAAACTGTAATTGGCATTTAAATTTTTCGTGTCCTATAAAAAATAATCTAAATGGTCTCATATTTATTGCTACATTTTATAATGAACATTTTGGACACTTGATCTTCTGCAAGAAGATTTGAGCCAAAAAAGCATTTGACAAAACTATTACTATGTTAAATGATATTGAATAATGGTCTCGTATATATCACATTTTATAATGAACATTTTGGATACTTACTTGATCCACCTGCAAGAGGATTCGAGTCAAAAGAACACCCATTTATCAAACTAATGCTAAATGATATTGAATGGATGTGTAGATGGACATTTAAAACCTCTTGTAATAAAACGGTGCATATTAAAATTCGTGTGCACACAAAATTTATTATTTTTGTGTTAGGTGCGCAGAAAACAATTTTTTTTTTTTAATATTTAAAAGTTGAAATGTCTTTTAATAATTTATATAATTTATTAACACAAGACAGAAGAGATTTAGTACTTAAAAGCTGCAATGAAATGGAGAGTATTGCATATTCTGCTTTTCCAACTGTTTCTGACAGAGAAAATTATAAAAGTTATTTGTTACAATTAGTCAAAGAAAACAAAGAACTATTAGAAAGGTTTGTTTATAATTTTGAAAAAATTAATGCAACTTATAAATGGAGTGAACCAAGAGAATGCAATAATTGTAAAACAACAAGATACACTGATAAATATTGTGAAAAGTGTATTAGTCTACACTTACAGAGCCTTTTCAGCACTTGGACATCTGGAAATGAGATAATTGATAGTTTTATTCAAAAGTGTCAACATCTTTCATCTCTTCCAAATAGAATTATAGAATGGATACCTTATGAGCAATTTTATGATATAGAAAAGTTAACAGAAGGTGGATTCAGTTCTATTTATACTGCTTCATGGACAAGAGGAACTATTGATGATTATGATGAAAATAAAAAGGAGTTTAGTTATTTTGGAGCTCAGATTGTGGTATTAAAATCATTAAATAATTCAAGTGATCCAGGAAAACTTTTTTTTGACAAGGTAATTGATCTTTTTTAAAATAAACCATTTTTTTTAGTTTAAACTAATTGACTTATTTATATAATTAATTATTAATTTCAGGCATTGAATTATTGTAAAATCAAATCAGGAATGATTGTTCCTTGTTTTGGTATAACTAAATTCCCAGAAAATGGAAATTATACAATAATTCTTAATTATCTGAAAGAGGGAAATTTAAGAGATTATATACAAAAAAATCATTCAAATTTAAGATTAAAAGATAGAATTAATATTTTTAGATATTTATGTAATGCATTATATCATATACATGAAAAAGATTTAATTCATTGTGATTTACATAGTGGTAATATATTGATGCAAGGAGGTAATTGCTATATCACATATTTTGGATTATGTGGACCAGTTGATGACAAATTATCAAATAAAATTTATGGAATTGTATCTTATATTGCACCAGAATTATTTAGAGGAAAAAAATCCACAAAAGAAACAGATATTTATAGTGTTGGGATGTTAATGTGGGAAATATTTGCAGATCATCCACCATTTGATGATGAGTCACATGATATTTTACAATTAAAAATATGTGAAGGTTTACAACCACCAATATTACCAGGAATGCCTGGTGATTATGCACAAATGATGCAAAGGTGTTGGGATGTGGATCCAGCCAAGAGACCAACTATTGGAGAACTTTTTAAATTTGCTTGTAATCAACTTAAAGAAATTATCAATAATGATAATGATATTAATAGTATTAGTAGTAGTAATTCACAACAAATTCACAAGTCACATCCATTAGCATATCATACAAGTAGAACATTAAGTGATGAATTTGGTAAGTTGAATCAAAGTAATTAAATTATGAAATATAATTTTGATAAGGCAATTAAATAGTTGGTTAATTAATTGAATTTACGGATTTAAATATGATTATATATTATTAATTACAATGATAATAGTAAAAATAATAATTGGTAGGGTTAAAGTTAGAAAATTGGGTTTGATGGGTAGATAATTAATTATTTTTTTCATATTTATTAATAATTTTTTTTGTTTATTTATTATATTTATAAATAAATTTAATTGATTTTCTCTCCAAAATCACACATTTTATATATAGTAATAGTTGAATAATTAATATAGTACATAATTTTCCTGATGTTAAAAGTCAAAAGTCAAATGAATATAATTCTGACCACATCAATAATACTAATACTAATAACTATTATAAATTTAAAGGATCCAGATTCATATTCCAATTCTTTTGCTGGATGTTTTTTACCTTCAAACCAGTGTAGAAGATTCAATGCCAGGAATGTTGGAATGTTCTGAATTTGTGAAATAATTTCTAAACTTCTGAGATTAATAACAAAGTTTATATTGTTTTAAAGTTGTATACATATATAAAAGCTTGTAAATAATATGTGTAATGTTGAAAATACAAAGGAAAAATATTTTTTACAACCGATGGTATTTTTTTGAAGCTTTAGGAAAGATACTTTGAAAAAAATTATATAAAAGAAAGCTGAAGATTTTTTCTTACAAGTATGAAAAATTAATTTGTGAATTTTTGGTGTACAATATGTACATGTTTTACACTTTATTTATTTTTACTAATAAACACTATATAGTAATTTCATAGGGGCGACAGTTTTGAAATTGATTACACATTATTAAATTTATAGCATTTTATCCAAACCTATCATGCATCAACATCCAACATAGTTGGACACTATTTATACAAAAATATACGCCGAGAACTTTTCCTCAGGAATGCATGAACAATAAAAACGAGAAGGATAACTTTGAGTTTAAATAACATCTACTTTGTCACATTTTTAGTAATTATACAATAATTAAAGGCATGTTGCTGATCGGTTTGTCACATGAACTGCAGTGTATTTACCGTAGTAGCAGTAATATGCGATTTATTAACGTTTTAAAAAAACTGCACAATATAAAATAATTTTTATAATCCGCCATTAATTACATCGTAATTATTTTATTTACATATTAACCTTATCTAAATTCTAATTTTATTCTATTACCATTATTACTAGTAAGTATTAACAACCTCGTTATCACCATCGTTATCATTGTCACCCATTCAAATTCGATTGATTAATTATTATTATCACCTACCACTAATACAATAGGATTACTATTATTTCCTCCAAAATATTCAACAACAGATTCCATAGATGCAGCAGAAGAAGAAGGATTATCGCCACCTCCACTTTCATTTCCATCAATATTATTATCACCCTTAATTGTTGTTTTGTCATCACCCTCATTGTTGTTATTATTATAATCTGATGATGATAATAAAAAGGTATTATTGGATTCTAATAATACTATAACACCATTATCAGGAGGTGATTGTGATACAATTGAAGATTCGGGAGGTCCATTTTTATGATGATTAGTTTTCTTTTGTTTTTGTGTTTCTTTAAATGCTATGTTTATTAAAAAAACAACAATAACTATTTTGTGATTTTTGGATTATTTTATTAATTATATTATTATTATCAATTCTTACCATCTAATTCCTCTTCTAATATTGGTACAAAATCTTCGAATTTACATTCCTCTAATGCTTCAAAAATATCACTTGTAGATATATTTTTATGACTACGTTTTTTAGCAATTATGTTGGCTCTTCATTTTTTTTATAATCAATCATATGAGGTTAAAAAAAGAGTATATACATTAATTAATAACATTCATTATATTCAATATGAATTAAGATTGATAATAGTAGCGTTAGTAAGTACCTTTTGGTTATTAATCTGATGAAAGTTGTTAATGATCTATTTATTGCTAATTTAGCATCTTTCTCTACTGTTATTTTATTACCTATCTTTTAATATTTTTATTATTATTATTAAAATAAAGAATAAATCATTATATATATATATATACATATGATCAAGTATATTATTAAATAAATTGTTTTATTTTACCGCATTTTGTAAAATTTTATTAATCAAGTTACTTTGCATGTCTAAATTTTCAATATTTTCAATTTCTTGATCAATATCCAACTCACTATCTGACTCTTTTTTCTTTTTATTCTTCTTTTTTTGGGAATTACCATTATTATTATCGTGATTATTAATATTGATATAATTATCAATACTGTTACTATTATTGTTGCTGTTATTATTGTTGTTGCTGAGCTTGCTATTACTGCTATTGTTATTGGGTTTGCTGTTATTGTTGCTGTCTTCTACTCTTTTTAGTGAAAAAATATCTACAGGAAGATGAGTTGCGTTAAACATTTTTTATTATTATCAATTTTTTAGAGGTGCATAAAAATATAAAAATAGATAATCACAACAAACATACTAATACAATATATTTTCCTCCATAAATCACGTGCTAGAAACCCGTGACAACGTGACATATAATAATAATGCACTGTATATATAACAAAATGAAATTAATGATGTATCCTGCAAGTAAGAATTAATTAACGATATATTTATTATTATTTATTCTAAAGAAAGAGATTAATTATCAAACTCACAAGTTATCATACTAATCGGATCCTCATGACAATGTTAATTTCGCAATGACTTTATTTGTCACAACTAAGGATACTAATACGGACGGCTGCAACTTTTGACAAATGCAACCATCAAAAATTCAGACAAGTGAAAAAATGAACTTTTTATATATTATGGTGCAAAATCGGTGTTGTATTATTATTATTGGTATTAATTTTATAGCATGATCATAAGATGCTGTTATAATGAAAACCCCATCCGGCAATAACTTTGAATAACGTATCTTTAAATGGTTGCGTGATCTCCAAATTTGTAACATCAATCATGAAGTTAACAACATTACATAAATTGGATTGATAACATAACGGTTCTATGAAACTAACGACAGTCTTATCTGCTGAACCTGTTACAATTGTTGATATCCAATAAATTTTTTACACCAATATTTTGTGTTTTAACATGAATTGTTTATATAATGAGATTTCAATTCCCAGGGTAATCAAATCATCAATTTCCTACAATTTTTTTTTTTCTTATATAAATACACCTTTCAAATACAAACTATCAAAATCGGTTTGTAATTCTGTTAGTAGATAATCTTGTATTGTAAAGGTTTAAAAGTTGATTGGTATTATTACTAAATAATCTATTAGTATTGTTATTTTTTTTCAATGTTTCTTTATTTGCTTCCAAACCAATAAAAATTTTGAAGATGACCGATTATTATCAAGATGATATGACCAAGCCTGGTTAATATCATCTACTTTAGAAAAAATTTTATTTTTATTTTTATTTTATTGTTTGTTATTTGTAAGATGTATATGAGGCATATGTAAATAAAAACCTCTTATTTAAAATAAAAAACTAAAAAGTTTAAAAAAAAAAATAATAGTAAAAATAATAATATTATTATCTTTAATAAAACTCATTAAAAAAATACTCGTTTTCATTACATCTCGCCTATCTATTATTTATAACCTGTATAAATTTTTTCGTGAAAAAGAAATAGAAAAAAGAAAAAGAAAATAAGAAAATAATATAAAATTATAATCATTATCCTTTTCTTTTTCAATTTTATTTTTAGATTCGAACTAGTATTAAAAATTAAAAATTAAAAAATTAAAAAAGTGAATTGGTTTTTTGTTTGCCTGATCAAAAGTATTATCATTATCACCATTAATTATCTACTACCATTTGTTGTCATGATGTTCAATTTTAATCTCTGGACCTAAATTTCCGTGATGTTGATTATGAGGATGATGATAGTGAGAATGAATAGGAGGATGATGAGGATGATGATTAAGAGGATGTAATTGCATCGATATACCATTTAAATCTAAACCATTACCACCAACAATCATTTGATGAGTGTGAGGATGATTATTATTATTATGTTGTTGTTGTTGCTGCTGTTGATGATGATGATTATGATGATTATGATATCCAACAATATAATTATAATCGGCATTATTATTATTATTATTATTATTATTATTATTATTATTATTATCCACTGAATTCATATTATTGTTGTTATTATTAGTTGTTGTTGTAGAGTCATTTATTACTACTAAACCTAATTGATGATTTTGTTGTTGTTGATAATTATTGTCGTTATCATTATTATTATTATTATCATTACTAAGAACAATCTTCGATCTTTTTTGACGCTTAGTATTACCATTTTTATAATGAGTTCTACTGTGAGCAGCAAAGTTATCCGATCTACCGAATCTTTTACCACAACCTGGATGGATACAAGTATATTTGCGTTCACCAGTATGAGTGATCATGTGACGTTTAAGATGTTCAAGTCTTTTGAAACTCCAAGAACAATCAGGCCAATTACAAGAATGTTTGGTGACTTTTGTATTTGCTGTTTTTGCAGATGAATTATTATTGTTAATTGAATTAGGTGTAGATGATGGCTTGTTGCAGGTAGATCTTTTTGGTATAATTTTAGGAGATAATAATGATGATGACGATGATGACGGAGACAACGATGTTATAGGTGATATTGATGATGGAATCATTAATGAATTATTATTATTATTAACATTATTTGTTGTAACAGAAGATGAAATTAATTGATGATGATGTGAAGATGAATGAAATGATAAATCATGATTGATATTGCAGTTATTATTAATATTGTTGCTATTGTTGATATTGCTGTTGTTATTGTTAATATTGCTGTTGCTATTATTATTATGAGACATTGCTATAATACCATGATGAGAATGATGAGAAGAACCGTTTATATTTGGATTAATGGCAGTTGTAGTTGTAGCAGTAGCAGAAGAAGATAAATTTTGAGAAAGAGCAACAGCTGCTGCTGCAGTCACGACAGTTGTAGGAGTAGTAGAAGTAGTCGTAGGGATGGAAGAATTTTGTTGTAAGAAAATGTTAGTAGTATTATGAGGTATTGTATGTGAAAAATGAAGTTGTTGATGTGGATTATGATGATGAATTGGATGATGAATTGGATAATGATGAGAATGATGATTTACATGATTATGTGGTGGTGGATGTAGAAGAGTCGAAGAAGAGATTGTTGTTGGTTGATAAAAGTAATGTTGTGGTAAACTATTTCCGTTGCCCATTAAATTTGCCATTATGTGATTTTGTTGATTTTGTTGCTGAAAATTATTATTATTATTATTTCTTGTAGAATTGCTATTATTACTATTGTTATTATTATTAGGAGTATCAGAATGAAATGAATAATTTTGTTGCTGTTGACAATAATTAAAAGTTGAAGAATTAGTTCCCCTTTGACAATTATTATTATTATTATTATTATTATTATTACTATTAGAAGTATTACTATTATTAGTATTAATCGAATTATTATTATTAGAATTAATTGGGTTATTATTAGTTGTAAGATTATTATTGCAAATAGATTCTATTGTAGAATTGTTGTTAGAAAGAGACTGTAAAGCAACAGCAGCAGAAGAATGTTGATCAAATTGATACTGGCTATTATTATTATCATTATTGTTATTGTTAGTTGTTGTTGTTGTTGTAGGTGTAACTAAATACTTTGATCTAGTACTTAATTGTTGGTCGTGATTACTGTTATTTTCGTGTTGATGGATGATTGCTGATTGATCTGTTAACATTTTAGGTAATATAAAGCATGGACCGTAAATTAGCATTACTTTTTTTAGTAACAAATAATGTGACAATAGAAAATAATTAAACAGATCAACTTACCCATTTATATTTATTTATATTTTTATTTGTTTACCTTGTTGTTTATATATATATATGTATCTTGTTTATATATCTTGTTTATTTATTTATATACCTATTTGTTAAAAAATTTCGGAAAAACAGTTTTTCACTTTTAAAATAATTTTACTATATAATAATAATTATTTATAATTATAATAATAATTAATTATTAATTGATTGATTTAAATAGTAAGATAGGTAAGGGGTAAAGAATAAATATTAGAAAACAAGAGTGATGGATGATTGACGACGATGATGAAGATAACGATGAAGAAAAGAAAATCAAAGAAAATTAAGAATTTAGCAGTAAAATAAAACTATTAAAAATAGCAAGATAAGCAAGCCAAAAAGTTAAAAATAAAATAAAATTTTTATGACGTGATTTGCAAATTATTGATTTTTTAAAAATAATAATTAATGATAAATCACTAACTAAAAAAAGACGTTTTATATTTTAAAGAATAAATAAAAAAAAATTTTCTTTTCCTGATAAAAAACTGGTAATTTTTTTATTTATGTTCGAGAAAGGAATTAATAATAATATTTATTATTATTAAATTGTTAATATTAATATTAAATTTTTAATATTTGAAAACTGTCAATTCTCCTTTCCTTTTTTCCTTCTTCTTTTCTCTCTTTCAAGGAGAAGATGTTAAAAAAAAGGAGGAATTATTGGAAGGAAGGAAGGGAAGGAAACCAAGGTATGAGGTATGTGTGAGCAATTAGTTTGGTGATTAATTTAGTTAGCTTTATAATAATTAATTAATTTAATTAATTAATTATTGGTTAGAGGATAAAGGTTATTAAATTTAAGCGCGTGTGAGATTAAAGATTCTTGTTTTTTAATTATTTATTTATTTCTCTCTCTCGTGTGTATTTATGAGATCTTTTCCAACAAATAGTGGTTATTATTTTATTTATATATAAATGAAAGGGAAAAAAACGATGAAAACAAGCATTTAAATTGATTTTATTTTTATTTTTATTTTTATTTTATTTATATTTATTTTTTGTTTTTGTATTAAATTATGTTTTTAACCCTTTGAAATCTTATTTATTTATAGAATATAATAATAATGATAATAATGAATGAAATATAGTATCGAGAAAATAAAACAAATTGTATATTAATTAATTGGTTCTTTTTCTTCGTCTTTTCTTTCTTGATCTTGATCTTGATTTTTGATAAAAAATATTTTTAAGTGATTTTTAAATTACATAATATTTAACATACAGTATATAAACGCGTATAAGATTTGATTTTTTAAAAATATAAAATTAAAAAAAAACAATTAAGACTTAAAATATTAGACAATGGTTTATTATAAATAAATCTTTAATGACCAATTATTATTTTTTCCATAGTTATACGTATATTTATTATGTGCGCTGCTGTGTATATATCAAATGATCTTTATTAAATAGTTGTTTTTATTTTTTATTATTCTTTAGAACAAATCAAATTTTTTAATTTTTTTAATTATTTCCTCAAAAATCAACCAAAATAAAAGGAGGTGTGTTTGTGCATGTGTATATTAATATGTGTGAGTGTGCATAGACGGATATTTGTGAACGTGCTTTGCTACCCAACAACATCAATCAATCCATTTCACAAATAATTTTCTATATATTATTAATTGAAAATATCAAAATTTGATTGGTTTTCCTTATCTTCTCTTGTTCTTTTTGAAAAATTTTAAAGGTGAAGAAGAAAGTATTTATTTTTCTATATTTATAATGATAAAGACATTTAAAAACTCAAAACTCAAATTTATTATTAAATATATAAATAGAATATTGTTACCATGTCATTGATGCATTTAATTCTTGATGATTGATACTTTTTCTATTTTTTATCTAATTTATTTAAATAATATTCATTTTTACTATATGTTACATGTAAATATTTTTCTTTCGTTCGTTCGTTCGTTTATTTTGTTCATTTTTCAATTTATTTAAAAGATTTTAATTTGCTATTCCTCCTTGGAAAACATATGCAGATTATAAAAATTGGGGTTTTTTAATCAATTAATGGATGAATGGAACATAATAATTTTATTTTGATTTACGAAGAATTTTAAGTAAAGACCATTCATTCGTTATTATTTGACGGACGCATTTATTTAATATTGTAATTGTTAATAGTCAGACAATCAGTTGGTCATTCATAAGATTCTGAATCGTGTAACCGTTTTTTAAAGTTTCTCATTATTCTATAACAAAGTTATCTAACAATAATAAATCCTCTCTCATATCGATAGAAGCTCTCTATGTAAAGTTATAGTTATTCGAAAACAATATTATTTTTTACTTCAAAATTAAGATATCCAATTATTACCTTGAGAAAATTTAAAAATATAAGTTTCATATTGTTCGTTGGCAAACAAAAAAACCATAGATTTTTATCAGTTGTAACCAAATTCGGACTGGGGTACAAAACAGGTTTATCCTATCGGTCGAACGCAAAATGATTTTCAAGTGTTTTTTCCGTGATCGACGTCGAAATTTTATCAATATTAATATTAATACAAACTTTAATTCTATCTATATATAGAGATCAACCCAATTACCGCATTTGGAAATTAATTATCTCTTTAATTTTTACGCCTGATGATCTTCTACCACATTTTTCCTTTTTGTGTATTGATAAATAAATTTAATATGTTTTGCCATTCTTGCTAAACTTTAATAAACAATAATCCACATAAAGCTGTACTCATATGAAAGCTTACAATATTTTCCATCTTTTCAACCACTCATCAAGTTTATAAAGGTAATAATATTCTTTAGTTTGAAGTAAAAAGTAGTGCTGTTTTGAATAACTGTAACTTTACATAGAGGGCCTCTATCAATATGAGAGAAGGATTCATTAAAGAGCTATAATGATATAGTTTTATTTTAGATTAATAATAATATTTGAACTTGTTATAAAATAATGATATTTTAAAAACCTGATTGGTTACATGAATTAAAATTTATATTTTACATATGCAGCAGCTTGACCATTGACTTTATGGTAGCACTGTAGGTGTAGCTCAGTGAAATAAGGGAACAAAAAGATCAATATCTAAAATTCGAACTCAAAATTATGCATGGTCCTATCATTTTCCTATCATATTAAAGTGTGCTGGTCACACATTTATTAGTAAATTAATGTGCAATAATTTACATATCAATATCTATATGCTGTTCAAGTGTTTGCTTTCAGTATGATTGTGTACCCCATGTAAAAGTATTTTTCTTTTTTTGCATTTTTACACCAGCTGCTTGCTAAAACTAGGGAATGACATATGTGAAACCACCAAAATAGTTTCAGCGAATCATTAAATGCTGAAATGCCAAAACTGCTGAAGCTATAGCTGACTTTTTCCACAAAATGTATCTGTAAAATATAATACTTCTAACAATAAATAAAGGAAACATAAAATAATTATGACCTGAGTGGATCCTCAATTCTTATCCATTGTATGTCTGTCTGTGTATGTAACAGTGAACCCTCTATAAGTGTGGAGTGGATGAAAGTGTGCATTTATGGAGGGATGTATTTATATATAGTAAAATATATAAAAATTTTTTAATTATATATATATAAATTCGTTTTAACAAAAACTTTATTTAATAAAAAAAAATAGGGATAAAATTTTGTTTGGTATAACAAAAATCCATTATTACAAGGCTTGACTGTAATTAGATCTTTTTCAAAAACAAACAAAAATGAAACTGAAAATAAATATTTTTCAAAAAATTTATTTAAATTTTATCATATGATGAGGATGTGGAGGATGTTTTTGCAGATTGTTCTATAAGATATTTACTCTGTTTTTTAATGGTAAAAGGATCAACATTTCACTGATTCATAGACTGATCATCAATTAATATTTGCATGCCTTCATCTCATATAGCATACATTACTATGGTTGAACAATAGATTTCTGACATGACAAAGGCTCATCATTCAACCCACCCCACACTACATGAAACCTCAGATACTCCCAAGATAGGCTGTGTGAAAAAGGACATATTTTCAATTTTTGATGATATCTACTAGCTGATTTAGTACAGAGGAGGATATCAAAAATATTCTAGTATGAAGGGTTGCAGTGAATGACATTTTGATTTATGAAAAACTAGAAATGGCATATAAAAAATTGTTTTGATTTCATGTTCCTATATTAAATTGTTAAGTTCTTTTGTTGAATAAAAAAAGTATTTGGCTTATATCAGCAAAAATTTTGAACCTTGAAATTTTTGGTAAGTTCATTTTGTCTAGTTTTTTTGCAGTATGCTCCATATAATAATATTGCTAAACTTTAATTTTTGTTATTTTTAAAAAACCAGTTATTTTATTTAAAAAAATTTAATATCTGGATTAGGTACCTGACCTGATCCATTTGGAACTCTAGTCCCTTGGCAGGTAATTATTTGATTCACAAATTTTTTTCAGTATGAATACCTTCTGAATGTGAGCCACCTTTTTTCCATAGTTCATTAGTAAAGATAGCTCCTCAATTAATTGTAGCATATAAAAATTGAATTATGGCTAATTGCAGTCCCCATCTTTATTCATTAGAATTTGCCCATCTAGGTGAAACTTTGAAGAGAAACCCTACCATATCCCTGTGTATTTCTCACTTGACTTGAAAGTTATCACAGCTTGCCCCACTAGTATCATTAAGCCTGCAGCATCACCTGCTTGAATGTTATCAAAGCCAGGAAGGCTTCAGGATGTAACTACATTAGCACACCCTCTTATATAGACTGTTTCTTGCACCAGTAAGTGATGACTAGTTTTTCCAAGGATGAAAGGTCAAAACTCTGCCAATTACTGAAATCTCCAAATGCTCAACTTTAATAAACAATTAAGGTGAAACTCTGCAAATTGATTTCTGGAAAGCAACCATAATTCCAAATTTATGTGAAATTGAAATTAGCCAATCAAATATGGGGTGTTGAAATTTTCTTTTAATTGGCTAATTCATACAGTACACACTCTCTATAATGACCCTTTCTATAACGACCCTTGCTCTATAATTTAAGTCTGATTTTTTATTATTTAAAAATCTCTGTCTATAACGAATTTGTTAACGAACTGTCTCAAAAAATCACTCTATATGTCCTATATCTGTCTATAACGAACTGATGATCATATATCACATGACATTGACTAGATTTTTTGATATTTAATAAATTTGATTTAGTAATTTTATATTTAAATATTGATGTTTTAATAAATTTTATGTTTAATATTAATAATTCTCTATCTGCATCTGCAGTTGATGATACTGAAAAGGATTACGAAATAGATATAGATGAACAAGAAATAATTTTAACAATTACTCCAAGATGAGCAAAATCAAGAAGTCGTCATTGAAGAATGTTCACCTGTTTCAAGTAAAGAAGTTTTAATTAGCAATAGAAACACATACATCGACCAACAATCTGAAAAGTTGCAGCTAAGCAAGAATGAATTAAACCATTAAAAGTCTTAAAAAGAAAAATCAAAAAATAGAATTTGATTCAAATCAACAGTCAATATTATATACCTTTTTAACTATTTTGTAAAGCGGCTATTTTATTTTATTGTAATTTTGCAAAACGGTTATATTTTATATACGTGTATATTATATTTTTTTTTTAAATATAGTTTATCCACATGATCATTACAAATTACTTTTTTATCCCAACCCAAAAGTTCGTTATAGGGAATATCTAAAAATGATCTGCAAAACCCTTGTTGCACTATTACTATATTTTGTAATACATAACGCGTACGCATGAATGAATAAATCTTTTTTTAACTTATCATTTCAAGAATATTATTACTAAAATGACAATCCACACAAAAAGAAAAAGAAAATATGTTACATTTGCTCCTGAGCACTTGTTAATAGAAATTAAATATATAGAAAATCATAAAGATTATTATCGAATAGAAGAATCTGAAGAATGTGAAGAAATAGAATCTGAAATGGAAGAGGAGATAGAAGAAGGGGAAATAGTAGATGAAATTGCAAATATGTATGGAAATGGAAAAACTTCAAAACAATCTCATCGTTATCATCCACCTCTGGTAATAGGACCACCGAAAGTAGTATGGTACATTCCACCTCTATTAATAATTAATAAGGGTGACGCTGCTGTCACTATCACTACCACCAAAGTATTGATAAAAAAATCAAAAGCAATTAAAAGTCAAGAAGCAGAACTTCAATATGAGCGTGAAAAACAATTATTGGAAACAATTTATCTTGAGTATAATCAAATACCAGAATCACCACAAGAACCATTATCATCAGCATTAGCATCACCACCATTGGAAAAACCAAAAAAAATTCTATTATTTAATGAGGAATATATTTTAAATATCATAAAACGATTGAAATAAACAATGGTGAATAAAGAAGAAATATTTTGGAGTTTATATTATATATGAATAGACTTGTAAATAGGTTTCTTCAAACAAAAAATTTAATAATAACAATTAACTTTTTTAAATAATATAGCATTGATCGTTATTTTTTTTTCGTTTTTTATTCTTCATAATAAATGATAGCAGTCTTTTTTTTTCAATTATAAACCAATCAACGAATTTTGAAAAATACTTTTACTATATTCATCAAAATTTTGGGGACATTTTCAAAAGTTTTCAGGATCCAACCAAACAACAACTTTACTATCACAGTCAAAATTTTTTATATATGAGAGGGGGCAAAGCCCAACAGGGTGAACATTGTACTACAAAGAATTCAGGGTTTAACATCACCAAATAATAATGCGATCATGATATTAACGAGTGCTCTTTGGTTGTCCCTATATATCAATTCTTGATATTCATAACCAATTAAACATGTGTTCACCGCATTCAAGGCAATATTTTGTTTTTACTTGATTTGCATCAAAAACAACGTAAATAGACACTGGATCAATCATTTGATAATCCATCTTGTTATAAAATCATCGATTCATTCATTCTAAGATAAAAAATCAAACCACAAATCCTTTAATAGTCATTGATCAAGACAATTTTGTTTTATTTAAAAATAAATATCTACAATGTTTCATCAATAACATTTTCATGTTTACTTTTTTTTGCATGTTACCGATTGAACTCTTCTTTGGTTTCTTATTTCACCTAAGACTTACAAAAAAAACAGATTTCATGACATAAATCAAAAATAATTAATCTGATAGAGCCTGGAAAAACATAGTCAAAGTAAATCAACTGGTGATCAAAAATGCCAAAGGGAAATTTAAGGTTTCAAACAATTGTTTGATGAAATCCAAATTTTTCATTTGGTGTGATTATGTGGTGGAGAAGGAAAGGGAATTGCAAAAAACTTTTATCGACAAAAATGAATCTTAGAAGGAACAATCCAGGAATTCACTGTATAGTAGGTTCATTATATCGAGCACCGACTGTAATTGCTAAATTTTGAACCCTGTAATCCCGTGTGACACAATATTCACTGCCCAGTTTTTGTTGTAGTATGCCCCATGTTATTATGTTTACTAGAAAAAAACCGCGCAAATCAAAATATCAAAAGACTAGAGTCATCAAAGAAATATTGTTTACTCCTTGACGCAGACTTTTAATATTATTATTTCTAAATAAATGAATGGCACATGTTATTATTATTGTTCTTTATTATTAAAACTGTGAAAAGGTTTTCTTGACATTCTTTCATACAACAAACAATTGATTCGTATTCAACAAAAGATTTTTTTTCGATAATTGTGCGTTGAAAGATTCAACATATTATTACTATTACTATTGTCAAAGCTTACTACGGACATTAAATTTGATTTAAAACTAAAACTGCAGGGGGCGGATCTGCAAATGAGCATGAAACAAAATAAGCCCCAAATTAAATAATACAATACATATTTTTTATTATTGTTAATATTAATAGCTGAAAACAATAATAATCATTGTCATCATTTTGATTCTATTTTATGAAAACAAGGATTGTTTTTTTCTTATAAATGCACCTTCATTTTTTCAAGTATTTTTTTCTCAACAAAAAATCAAATAATTAAATAACAATTAATAATTTAATAATAACAAATCAAATCTTCAACTTTTTACAAAAAAAAAAACAAACCATCTACAAAAATGAATCCAACTGCAGTTATCACCACCATTAACAACACTTCAAACAATGCAACCGCAAAACCTGAAAATGCCACAAATCATTGCACTATTATGTAAATAGCCAACAAATAATTGGAATCAAAGAAAAGCAATACACGAATTGAAAAAACAAATTCAATTTATAATAATAATAATAAATAGGAAAAATTTTTCGAAAATGGATAATCAAAAAACAAACTTTTTAATAAATCAAAACGAACAATCAATCAAAAATTTTTAATTTAATAATTTAATTTAATATTTAATTTAATATTTTATAACTTTATATATAATAACTATTGTTTATTATTATTATCATTTTTATTTGATGTAAAAATATATTAATATTAATAATTATTAAACATTTCCGTGCGTGATTTTTTTTTAAAAGAGAATTGACGAGTATTTTATACATATTTATTTCGATATGTCCGAGTAATAAACCCAAAGTAATATGCCTCGCTTGAGTATTAAAGCTAAAATTTGTGTTTTATTTATAAGACTGATTGCTCATTTGAGTTGCAATGTCATTGATGTATATTCTCGTAAAAGTTTCAACGGATAATTTGAGAGACTTCTCCAATAGAAACGAAGAAAAAGACAATTTTAAAGATCACAAATATACTTGCCGTCCATACTATGGGATCCCTCAATCCCATCGGGTATGAGCGGGTGGGTGTGCTTTGAGATCAGTAAAAATCCCACAAATCCCCATCCCATATCCCATGCCCCATATTAACCAATCTGATTTTCGTCACACCATTAATATTTTTACGCGTAATATAGAATTATATTTTTTAATGTTCCTTGTGATTCGCTTGTGAAGAATTTTAATTTTTATTATTAAATTACATTTTGATAAACAGGCTGATGAAATAGAAAATTTTATCAATTTCTGAAATTAATACAAGTACTGGAAATTCTAGACAAGGAGGTAAATCTAGAGATCCAGTATGGAATTATTTTAATGCAACAGAAATTCCACATGATTCTTGCCTTTCAGCACAAAGTAAATTTTGCTTCAAGCCATGGAAGTGTGGTAAACCTTCTGACTTGAAAGGGCATTTGGCTCTGAAATGCTCATTGGTTAATAGAGAAGTAAAATTAAAATACTTAAGATTAATTAAATCAGATGATAATATAGAATCTGCAAATAAAAAGTAAAGAGGAAATATTGGAAATAATATAGATCTTCATTCTTATTTTAACAGTGATAGAATAGATGCACCAAAAATTTCAAGAGCAAACCAAGAAATGGTTTGTTTTTTTTTTTGTGTGGAGTTCCTTTTAGTGTTACAGATTCACCTTGCTTCTGTGATTTTACAAAATCTTTATGCAGTGGTTATGAATCTCCAAAACATACCATCGTCTAAGCATCTGTTAGATTTTGAGATTGCCAATATAACCTTAAAGATAGAAAAAGAGGTGTGTGATTCCAAAAATTTGACTTTAGGTAATTAATTTTTAAGTAAAATTTGTGTAATAATAAAATTATTACAGAATCAACTTTCTTTTTTATTGTTTTTATGGTTTTTTATGATAAATGAAAATTTTTTATTAATAAATATATAATACTTTTTGTTAATTCTATTAACGGGACATGGGATGGGATTTGGGATTAGGTTGGCGTTAGATGGGGTTGGATGGATTTTAAGGATTTGAGTATAGGCGGCAAGTATAATCACAAAATTCTTTTTCCCCTGTATCAGATAATCTATAGATTAGGTTGTTTCCAAATGCTCTCTTTGTTGATTTATTATTTAATTTCTTTATATACTTATCAGCAGGATCTTTTATCTTGTTAACAGCAATTCTTATAATGCTTGAATGGAACAACATGCATTTGCAGTTCTAAACTATACCTTATTGCCTTGGTCGCTATTAAGATTCTCCTTAACTTCCCTAATGCACTTTTGTAATGGTTCCCATTTGTTTTTATGTTTATTCATCCTATAATTATTTCATTAAACAGACTATGTTTTTAGGTTTAATTATTTAATTACAAGGATCTCGATTCTTGCCATTATGTTAATACATCAAACGGTTTATCAAACTTATCAATTGAATTCAAAACAACGAATACTCGAAGGCAGTCAAACACATTGTCCATTAAGTTTATTGAAAACAGTTTACATGGGTAACCATATTTTTAAAAATTTGACTTTACGTCTTAAGCGTCAAAACGGGTCATGAAAGAAGCAGAAAAAAAATCATGATCAGCTACCAATGATGCAGTATCTGATAAAGCAATAAAGCAAGTATAATAGAATTTGATTTTATTTATAAAAATTTTTACACAATAATAGAATCTATAAGACAATTATTTAGCTTATAAAAAAAAAATTTGATCATTGGAGGGACCGATTATCGAAAAAATAAAGTATATATTTGCAAGAACGAGATTAAATTATTTTTGGGGTGGGAAATTATTTTCATAACAAAGAAGAAATAGCAATGCAGAAGATCTGTAAGTTTTATAGTACTTGAATGACAATCAATAATACCATATCTTGACATTAGTAAATTTGCCATTGTTAATTAATTCTACGGGATCGTGCACCTAATCTCAGAATAAATATCTAAAATGTATCGCTGCAAACAAAGAATTTTCTTTATATTCTTTGTGCTATCCACTCCATATTGGAGATTAAATATTTAATTAAATAAATAATAGTTAAATATTAATAAATATACAAATGAATGGATTAATTAAATAATAGTTAAATATTAATAAATATACAAATTAATTAATTAATAATGTTACTCCTAATTACAATTTCTGTTATTGCTCTTTATACTTCCATCTCATCACTATCATCCCAAACAAAATCACCGGGCACTTCACTGGCCTCATGTAATTCAGTTAGACCAGCCAAGTCCTCAAGGTAATTGGGCTCATCAAATGCACGTCGAAGAAATTCAAAACCATTAGCTTTATATTCGTTTATCACTTTATCAGAACAAGCAGTACAACAATCGTATGCCTGACCAACTATTATCATGTTGCTAAAATTTGTAAGGAATCCGCGCATTTGATGCGGAATAATGCTTAATGGTGTTGATCTGGAATTGCTTGCATCATCTTGATTACTACTTGTATCTGCAGGTGCTGCAGCTCTATAGATAAAATCATGGTTAGGTTATTAAGGATTTGATTATAATTTGTTACTTTATTTTATTAAAATAAATAAATTACCCTTTTTCATGATGAAGTACAGACACCATCAATTCAACAGCCATGGCACTAGCAATAGCTGACAAACCAGGTCGGGTCACAGTGCATTGTTGATCTAGCGTACGATCTTTAAGCGAATCTTTTGGTGAAACAATGTCATTACAATAATAACACCCAAGTTGTTTGACCATTGGAATTTTACTACTACTAGCAGCAACATCAGAAGTTGATTTTTCAGATGTTAATGAATCATCTTTAACGCCATGTCTCATTACAACATAACTATCAAATCCTAAAGCTGCATTTATAACAAGCTTTTATTTACAAATGAAAATATGTGTAAATAAATGCATGAAAAAAAAGAATCGGAAAAAATTTTAATTACCTTACGCATAGTAGCACCTAATAAAGTAGGCAACCATCTTGATTCTCTACTATCCATTAATAAAAATATAACATCATGATTTTCAAACAATTGCACTAATTTCTCAACATCTTTTTTAGTTTGTGACTCTGAAACTATTGGGTGTCCAGGCATTGGAATATTAATATTGTGACCTTCTGAAATCTTTTTTTTTTTGAAATCATTATCCTATGATATTCTATTTTAAGACAAGGATCCATGACATTAATATTTTGTAATTAGTTGCAATTATATAAACCACCCCATCTGAAGTTGGGTAATACTGTTGCAATTTACATTTAGCTTCTTTTCAAATATCTTTTGGGAGTTTTAATTCAAGAAAATCTTAAATCAAGTCAATTAGATAATTGCATATAGGAATTGACTGTCCTAGAATCAAATAACATGAAATACTGATTTCTGTTGAAAACACCAAAAAAAAAAATAATTAATAGATATATCTTTGAAAATTTAAAAATATAGATACACTAAATACTTTACC